GCGGGATCTGTTTTGTGTTTCTGAATGCCTTGTAGTTCCGACTTGTCTGAGATCCAGCGGAAAGCGCAGCGCTCCCGGTGATCGGCAGTCTGTGGATGCCCTCTGCTGGACACTCGGGGCAAGTGCAGTGCGGCCGGCTCTGAAAATTAAGGGTTAACCTTGAGAAATTTTGTTGTTTTTTTTAAGGTCATCTATAAGGTGCTCTGAGACTATTAATAAAAGAAGGTGAATTTTAGGTATTTAGGTATCATTTTTTTTGGAAGGTGATTTGTCCAATGACGGTGATGAGAGCGCTAGACCCAAAATAGGAGGGGATGAGACTTCGATTCCAAATTTAAAGGCGGCTCTTTATCAGGCGGGGTATCCTGAGGGACCCCCGGGGTAGTTTTAATAATATTGCGCTCTCATCCTTTTGACATTAGTTAGTGATCAGAGGTAGAGGGCTGCTCTGCCTCTAGATAGGCAGAGTCAGCTGTCAGTCACGCAGCTGGGCGGATCCAGACACAATTGTCGGGATCCGCTCCGGCTGCGGCGTCTCAGTATACAGGGAGCTGTAGCTCACGGTATACTGAGCCTAGGGTGACGGGAGGACGCTAGTTTGTGTCCTCCCGTTACCCTAAGCAGAACTATGGGGAAAAGCCTTAACGCCATAGTTCTCCTTTAAGGTCCATGATTGTGCACAGAGGTGCGTTTTTTTGTAGCGTTAGGCAAGTGCTTTGTCATGCATCAGTGTGCTTTTCTTTTATGCATTGAAACTGCTACTGCTCTTTTACTGTCCAGTCGCAGGCCGGGGGGGTGGGGGCAGGGAGGAGACCAAGCTTAACAGCTTCACTGCAGCAATGTCAGCCCACCAACCTCTCTGTCCTCCCCCCCCCCGCTGTGGAATGGCATCCTCATATCTAATGCAAGTGAATGGACCTTGCATAGATGTGATGAAGTCACCAGAGTCCAGGGGACAAGAGGCCGCAGGGACCGCTCTAGCAGCCAGACGGGGCCGATGATCAGATGAGTATATTTTTTTACTTTGCAACCCTAGACCAGAAAGAGCACTTAACCCTTTCTGTGTGGAAGTAGCCCCACACTGCAGGGTTTAACTAATAAAAAATCCTGGGGTTCCTCTTTAGAGCTGTCATAGTTGCTCTGCACCAATTGTCTTGGAGGCCAAGAATTTGTTTTTTAATTATTTCTTATTAGGACGAAATAAGGTGAAACAGCCAATAGGTTCGGGGTTCAGACACTCCCACTTCATCAGGGCGTAAAATACTGACCTTGTAATGGTTGGACTCAGCTATGATCAGTGGCCTCAGGACGCCCCTGCCAGCATGCCCTTCATTGTACACCCCTAAGGTCCATCACCAAGATGGCCGCCGGCGGACGTCAATAAGATGACCGCGCATGCAGGATGACGTCAACGCGGGGGGTGTCACCTGGTCTCCGCTCCGGGTGACACCTAGCCGCGTGCCCCTGGTTATGATGCTACAATATAATAAAATATCATGTAATATAAATTGTGGGATTTGGAGACATTTGCGCAGAATAGCGCCTCTAAAGCAGTGGCGGTGTTCAGCGTTAATGATGAATGAGGATAAAAGGAGTTTTTTGGGGGGGGTTTTTGGTATGTGATAATGGGACTTTTTTTTTTCCATTCAAGGCCCTTGTTAGAGTCTCTGTCTTCTGTCCCCGAGTCCCGGCAGACCGTGAACAGAGCGGAGGGGGAACTAACGACTTGTGTTCCCGCAGGAACGGCCTTTGTGTACACGCACGACGACACAGACACGACGCAAGATGGCTTCACCGTCCAGCTGACAGATGGCAGGCACACAGTCCAGGACACGTTATACGTGCGCGTCGTGCCCGTCAACGATGAGAAACCGACTCTGATCAGGTTAAGTATATGGCGCAAAACGACTCCGCAACAAACAATGTAACAAAAAATAAATAAAGCGTCGCCAACACGTGGCGCCAAATAAAAGAACAGCGCCCATAGAAGGGCCGCCCTCTAGAAACCTGACAGGAATCGTGTTGGTTTATTCATTGAAATCCCATAAAGGGTTAACGCAAATTGTCACCGCGCTCTAGATAGAGGTCTATCTATGACTTTCTTAGCGAAACATTCACCCAAGATTCACATTTCTTTTTGATTGCTTTCAATTGGAAAAATGTGTGAAAGTTGTGTGAATCTTGTGTGTAGAGATTTATAACTATTTTGCGTCTGCTGTGAATTTTACCATTTTCGGGTCCCGGCTCATACAATTTTTTTATTTTTTATAGGTCAAGAAAATACTTTGATCATAAGGGGGAAAACCTGTTCCCAGACCCTGTGTGCTATGTCACCGCCTCGGTTAGCTGGCCAGGGGGTTGTCCAACCCGCCCCCCACCCCCCGAGCTATCTGTGACTCCAAAATAAAGACGCCGGCGGTACACCATAAAGCTTTATTGTTCCACACAAGCAACACACGACCTCCTCGGCTGACACGTTTCGTCCAAAGCTGGGCTACAAATATGCATCGGAGGAGGAAGAGGAGGGTGGGACTTTGTTGCTGGTCTGGAACGAACAATAAAGCTTCACCAAGGAAGGACTTCACGGTGTGCCAGCCGGCGTCTTTCTTTTTGGAGTCAGGAAATTAGGGATGCACCGGTGCCGAGGCCGAGTATTTGAGCGGGTACTCATACTCACCCAAATGCTCCAATGCCTGGCCCGATGCCTGAGCTTCCGGTATGAGGAAGGCGGGCAGTGAGTCATTACACGCTGTCCGGCTTGCTGATTGGCCGGGCAGCCGGATCCATGCTCCCTCGTGACGAGGAAGCATGGAGCCAGCTTCCCGGCCAATCAGGAAGCCAAGCGCCATGTAATGACTCCATGCCCGGCCTCCTGATTGGCCAACTACGACCAATCAGGAAACCGGTAAACGAGTCATTACACAGCACCCGGTTTCCTGATTGGGCAGAAAGCCGGCTCCATGATTCCTCGTCACTTACCTGAGCTCCTCGAAACATGGAAGTGGCCAATCAGCTGTGGGCTGGGGCATTCCCATGCAAACAAAAGGGCTGGATGCCTGCGCTGATGTAATTGACCTTATATGGTCACATGACCATATTAGGTCAAATGTAATTTACCTAGTATAACCATGTGACCATATAAGGTCAATAATGTCACCGCACCCCGCCCCTTTCCTTAGGTTCAGCTGCACGTGGGGAATTCTGATTCGGCAGCAGTGGAAGGGTGTGTCTTAGGTTGAGTCTGAACCTGAGCTCATCCCTAATGCTGAGATTGTACACTGAGGTGCACATGTGCAGCTCCAGGTACACATTGTGATCAGGTAGGTTAGTTTGTTTTATTGCCGTAAGGGAGGTGTAGGCAACTTTGGCACTCCAGCTGTGCCAGAACTACATATCGCAACATGCCTCTGGGAATCATGCCTGTGGCAGTCAAGAGTCTTGCAATGCCTCATGGGCCTTGTAGTTCCACAACATCTGGAATGCTGAGGTTGTCTATCCCTGCAGAAGTTACATAGCATGACTCTACTGCAACAAAGATCCGGCCCGCTCGCAGTGTTTACATGTTTGACTTTAGTTCCGCTCTCGCCGAGTTCCGTGTAACACAAAGTCTTATAACGGTGATAAAGTTATCTACGAGCATTCAGGTGATAAACCCGATCCCTTCCCCCGCCGCCAAACATTCCTCGTTTAATCAGATTATAAGGGATTGGTCTGTGGGTATTGCGCAAGAGGAATGAGGGTCTATCTGCAAGGCGATGGATGGGATGGGGGAGGGGAGGAGGGCCCATGAAATGTATTTCCTGTAATAAATAGAAGTCTGATAACTCCCTAGTCAGAGCAAGGTAGCAATAGGTCATCTAGGTGTACTTAAAATACATTTTAAAATATATAAATAAATAATC